CTGGATGCGTTGGAGTCACGGGTGGCTGTAATTTAGGGTGTGTGGGTGGGGTTTTCCCTGATGCAAACCTTTTTGTGGTTGGTGGAAGCAGTTTGGAAACTTGATGGTCAGAGAAAAATAACCACGAGCACCTTGACATTGCCATGTGCAAATTTTGCTCAGTAGTGTATGTACGAGGGCTGCCTTCTTGCTGGATTTCTTGTTCGGAGAGGCTGGAACAGCTGCACTTCTCTGATTCGTTGGGAAAGCGTAGGAAATCAAAATCAAACAAAGAAAAAGCTGAAGTACAAGCAAGGGGGATGGGGGAGAGTGGTGCGTGAGGCTGGATTTATTGGTGTGCTGGAAGATTGCTGCAGCTTTTCCCCGCTAGGCAATAGGTGTTCTGAGAGGGGAATCAAAATTTGCCAGGTCTCAGTGAATAGACATGCGTTTTTATTTATTTTTTGCTTTTGAGTCATGGAGCATGTGGCTTGGCTTTTCCATTCAGATTGCAGAACTCAGGCTGTGTTAGGTGGGTTGGAACTAGATGATCTTGAGGTCCTTTCTAACCCTAACTATGATTAGTCTTTTCCCCATAACAAAAACATCTATGACTCAGTTGATCTGCAGTTTTATGTGTTTTTCTTTGCATTGCTTAAATGCTGGGAAGTATTTGGAACCCTTGTGCTTGCTTTCGTGCCATGAGACCTGGGGAATGTTTGTCTGTGGGAACCAGTGCATGTCTAGATGACTGACAGGCATTTGGCACTGTAGTATTTGTGCCCAGGTGAGTGCATTGTAGGATTGGCTGGACTTGTCTTCTGTTTTGATGATAAGATGAAGATTAAGAACCAGAAATATACCTGTTCCATCGATAATAATAATTTTCCTTTTGCTAGCCACACTGATATGCACTTTCAACTAAATGACCCTTCATGAAGAAGGATGATGCTTTGCAAACCTCTGAGTGAATGCAGACTGAAGGAATATCTTTTCCTTGGATATGTGAGGCTTACACCCACTGAAAGCTAAGTGAGGTTTTGTTCTCAACAGACAGAAAATCTGCGATGGAGGATTGATGCATCTTTCTGATTGCCTTGCTGAAACTTGACTCTGATAGTAAGTGTGGTGGTCAAGGTCACTACATGCCTTTTCTTAGGTTGTAGAAGATCTGTCTTGTGTTTAAGAACAAGAAATTTGTTGTTCTGCAAGCTAACTATGCTTACATGTGTTTGCTTTTGGCATAAAATGAAGGCTTCCTGCCCTGAAGCCATTAAGTTATAAATTTGTGCAATGATGAGAAAAAAAAAAAAAAAAAAAACCCACATGCTGGAATGTGGCATTTATCACAGCAGGAGCAAAGAGCTGGGGAGTGAGAGCCAGGAAAGCCTCCTTTCAGGGATTAAGGGAACTAAGAAGGTTCAACAGGTCATCCAGAACAGCATTTCTGCCGGTATGCTTTCTGCCCCCAATATGCTTTTCCTCTTGATGAAGGTTAATTAATCTGGTGCTGCACAGTGTAAAGGATGTATGCAAAGGGTAGGGAAAATGTGTGTCATCACTCTGTGTCGGTGTGTGCCTGTGCTGGTAACACAGTGCTGATACAAACATATACAGCAGGTGTCTTACGCACTTCCCTCCTCATAATGAAGAACATACCTTTGTTTCACACAAAAAGAAAGGAGATAAGACATTCATCAAAGAACAAGCTTATAAATGTAGAAAAGGAGAACTTCTTGCTGTGAAAGAGGAGTTGGTATGAGTTTGTTGGTAACTGGGTCTTTTGGTTCTGTAACATCACCATCATGAGAGGTCAAGTCTACATTAACCTATTTCCCTCCAGCTCTTGGCAGGGAGCTAGATCTCTGTTATAAATTACATAGTTATTGACAGCAAGAACATTTCAGAAGTAGGAAACAAGTTTGGCTTTCTCTGGGCAAAGAAAGCACAGCATGATTGCCAACAACTGAAAGATAGATTAGCTTGCCTTACTGCTCAGACAAGTTATCTTGTTTAAAGCAAATGCACTTGTTTGCTTTATACAGATTAGGGTAACTTGAATTAGTGTTTTTCCTCTGGTGTTGATCTTGAGCTCATGTTGTGGTTTCTGTATGCAGGGGTTCCGGTGCTGCCTCTGAAATCTCTGAACTCTAGAGAACTGAGATTTTAGAGGGTTTTTTTCTCCTCTAATGCAGTGGCCACCAGATAGTGATTTCTTAGTGTGGTATTTTTAAGTGTGCCAACTTTGGGTCAAATACGCATGCATAGAGGTCTAGCCTATGAAAATCCACTTGGGATCTTGCATTTGCAGTAAGTATGTCCTAAGATTGCTCTCATCTATGTTTCCTCTCTCTAATGCGGTTAAAACCTTAAGGAAGGAAGGAACTTCGCAAGCAGAATTATCGTTGATGTATAAAGTGTTATACTGCTTTTTCACTTGGGCAAGTATATGATGCCTTTGCAAACTTCAAATTATAAATCCTAAAAAACCCCAGAGCTGGGTGACTTAAATCCTGCAGGCGTTGCTGGCCTCAGCTGAGCCTATGTCAAAGCGTGTAACTTGATCTTAAAAAATTCCTAGATTTCACCCTTTGCCAAAACTCTTTATCTAATGCTAACATTGCTTGGTAAAGGTTGTGGAGGCAAGGGATGGGCGTATCGCATAGATAAAGAGTGTATAGCTCTTATTTCAGTACTTCTTATTGTAGTAAGCAGTTGAGGTGATAAAAGTATCACCCTATACCTTCCCTGTAGCTCCTCAGTCTGTTGTGCTGCCACTGTCTGTTGTCCTGGCTGAATATAAAGCATTCTGGTGTGGACAGCAGCAAAGCCGGATCCTGTCTGCAGTGTTGTAGCCAGACTGATCTCAACCCGGGGGATGCTGCTTGCAGGACAGAGAAAGGAGAGAGTGGAGGTGAACTGCATGTGAAGGCTGCACTTTGCTGTTTGGAAACTGTTTCCCACAGGACTCTGACTGAACTCAAGCTCCAATTCACATTCTTTGTTAAGCATACCTTCTGATTACTAAAATAAATCTGTCTTCTCTTTGGAGATTGCCTTGTAAATGTCTGCAATTTTGATTCCTCACCAGGTTTATAGAATGAGTAACCTATTGCTTACCCACAGGGAAACAAAGCATGGACTTAGGGAATACCTTTCTTCAGCAGGGTGTGTGAGAGAGCTTGGTGCTTTCAATTTAATTCCTCCCCCACGCCCTGCTGAAATTCAATTCAGATCTTCAGTTTAGGCATGCCTCATGTGGGATCACTGGCCACAGGCAGGATTGCCACTAACTCTGGAAGAGGTAGTATGTATCAGCTCTTGGCTTGGGGATCAAAGGCAGCTTTGTCGTTACCAACTAAAATGCTGACTCCCTCCACTAACTTGCCTGGTATTCGTTATGTGCTCTGTGAAATGGCTTTGATCATTTTTCTTCACAAAGCTAGATTTTCTTCATATTTAAACATTCACTTCCTTAATTGTGCTGAGTAACTCTATTTCATCTTCCTCGAGGTATGATGCATTTGGATGTATGCAATCACTAGAGACACTGCATCGTACCACATACCATAGTTAGCTCTCCCCATTTTCCTGTATGTGATCATCCACTCTCATTTGTTTGTTGTGCTCTGAATTCTTTTCAGTTTATCCCGAGATGCCCAGAGCCAGCACCAAGCAGTAAGTTTCAGCATTCGCATAAAACTGTACATTACTCTTATTTCTAATAATCTGGAATTCTTTAACAAACTTGGGGGAAGAGCTCAAGAAAATGTGAAAGAGCGTTAGGTTTTATAGCTTGAATCGGATGCACGTGATACTGCTTATAATAGGTCTGTCTTTTGGGAGTTCAGCTTAAGAAATCTGACCTTTTAGGATGAGAGACACAAACTTTTAGTTGATAATCAAGCTCTGGAAATAAGGTCCTATGTTCTCAGAGATGAAGGAAGTAATTGAAGACTTCACACTTGAATAAACATCCGGTTCTAAAAAGCTTTTGTTTATCATGTTTTTCCTTCTTTTTAGTCTGCGGCTATAGTCCAAGTTCTGATGGTACAAAATTAGAAGTCTGGCTTTTGTGGAGGTGGACCTAAAGAGGTTTGTGTTGCCTTCAGGGCAATGGTCTGCCCACTATTCCTGACTGTAGCTGCTTTCAGAGACCAAGTGTTGGTTTAGATGAATGACCAAGTCTCACCCATTTCTGGCTACACTTTTCACCCCAGATGCTTCAGGGACTGGTTAGTTCATTCTCTTTAAGTTTTACATAATTATGTTTGTGTGGTTTGACCGTCTTTCTCATGTCTCTCTTCCCTTCCCCCCGATTTTCTTCATTAAGCAATCTTGCTGTTGTCATACCTTTTTGGAATCAAACAATGTGCTTGCAGCAG